CACATGCAGGATTAGGAAAATAAATTTCCCATGTTTAAACTTTGCATAAATACAATTGTCCTCTACATTCTCTTTAAAACCCAAACTTTCTTATTGTACTGTCAAACTTCAAGAACCACTGTCTTGAAGCTTGCTTTAATCCATAAATGGATTTCTTTAGACAACATCCCTTTACGTTCTTTTCCTTCCACGACAAAATCTTTTAAGTTATGCCATGTAAACGATTCCATACAAATCCTCGTTGAGGAATGTGTCTTTACATCCTTCTGATGTAACTGTAAATCGTAATGTGCCACTAATACCATTATGATTATAAAAGAATCCTTGCAAGCTTATTATAATCTATTCCTTCTCTTTGTGTAAATCATTTCGCCACAAGTGGCGCTTTATAGCTTTTCATTTTTTCTTTGGAGTCACATTTGTCTTGTAAACCCATTACAGCCTACTGTGTTGGCTCTATTGGGAATTACTTCTAAGTCTTAAACATCGTTGGTATTTATCGATTTCATTTCATCTTCCTTTGCTTCTTGCCATTTAGACGACTGAACGCCTCTCATGGCTTTTTCAAATGAGGTGAAATTATCCTCTATTTGAATTTCTTTCTTAACATTGACTTCTTAGTCACCAGAAATATCTGATTTTCTTATTCTTTGAGACCTTCTAGGGCCTCGTGGCACTTCTTTCATATAGGGCTATTGTTACTCTTCATTGCCAAAAGGCAATTGTTCTATAGCCTCATGTATTATAAGATTCTTATTTACTTATTCATCTTCTTTAAGAGCTAACATCAGGTGTTGTATACCCATACAACATCAACATGTATTAAGCAATTTGTTGCTCTAAAAAAACACCGTAGTGGATATGTAATCCCACTTCTATTCAAGCCTTAGGTATCTACATACCATGCTCCCCCAGATTACTCCATCTTTTGTAAAGATGGTGTATCTTCAAATTTCTTATTTTGGGTTTAATCTACTAAAAACTCATATGGCGCGTTTAGCACCGCCTTGATAACTCTTAACTCGTCAAGTATAAATACTAGCCGACTATGCTATCTTCCTATCGGAACTATAAAAAGGTCCAGAAATTTAGCTATTTCTTTACTTTAGGGGTATCGCTATTATGACCGTCTTACTCCCTCAACGATCACAATCATCTTTTATAGATCACTTTTACATTCAATGCATAGTATGCATTGCATTATCTGAAGTATGGGGAAGTATCTTTCTTAATTGTCTTTCTTAATTAATCTTACATTTCTCCCCCTCGAAATGTGGTATGAACTTTTCTACCACAATTTCGAAACATTCAGAACTCTTGTGAATGAGGAAACTTTGATTACTTACTTCATCCACATGATTACATCATGCAAACAAAATTCGTATGGGAGTACATTTTTCTCATTACACTTCAAAACTCAACATAGTCTATTATTATCAATACTTCTGCAAGTCATGCTTGCATATCATTCTTATTTTTTGGTTCACATGCAACTTTCTTTTGTTCTTAAACTCATTGAGTACTTAATGATCATGACACAATCAGAGTGTACGATCAATACTAGGATAGCATAAAAGCTACCTCAAACTTCTCTCCATGTGCGGGATACACTTAGAGCACATGAGTCATCACATCCTTCTCCCGCCATGCGGGATAAGTACTATGCCAAACTCTCTCGCCATGCAGGATTGGTTAACATATGTACTATGCCAACTTTACCCCGCCATGCGGGTATTTTCTCAAACTTTTCCCGCCATGCGGGTACTATCATAAACTTTTTCCCGCCATGCGAGATATTCCTTTGAACGGACATAATTGCCAGGATTGACTCGTGTTCAATCATCAAATTCAGAAATAAATCCGAATATTCTTTTAACACACATGTTTAATCCAATATTAGTCAAATTAAACATGTATATGACTTTTACAACTCTCATAAGTGAAACTGAAAATAAATTCTTCTCCACAGAGAGTACATAAAAGATATTTCTCAATGAAGACTCTCATTGATCTATCTCTTTTCTTGATCAATATCCTAGAATTCTTTTCTTTTGAAGCCATTCTTTAAAGAGAACACAGTCCCTTAACCAATGGCATTCTTTCATACATAACTTGCCCTTAGGTATTTCATCATCTGAGTCACAAGTACCCAGCTCATTTCTCTTTCTGCCTTCAAGAATAAAAGCTTGGAGGTCTTTTCTCTAAAAAATATTCAACAATAATGCTCATTAAACTTTAAAAACTTTATGTTCTATTCTATATCACCGTTGGGCAGAAATAGAATAAAACATCATTATTCTACATTAATTCCACATCACCGTTGGACAAAAATAGAATTAACGTATAGAAATTCAATAATCTTGAAAATATAGAATTGCTCCTCAAAATTAAATTCTTCCGTTGGTTCGAATTTAATTAGAAGACAATCAACTTCATTGCAGCGGAAACATGAAAATACATTTCTCTAGTTTAAGAGCATTCCTTGATCTTTATCTATTCTCTGAAAATTGGTCACTTTGATGCAAAATTCATCAGAGATTTAAACTTTAATCATAAAACTCATAAAATTATAATATTGTTATCATCAACGTTGGTCAGAAAATAACAATACCATAATTTAACTTTAAACTTAAACTCATAAATAAACTTATAATATTGTTATCATCAACGTTGGTCAGAAAATAACAATATTATAATTTATCTTAACTATCAACCGAATATTCCTCCAATTAAAAAAAATTTCATTTGGTTCCAATTTTAACTGGAGGATAAACTTTTCATTATTTACTGAATAACTATAACTGCTCTTCAATTAGAAGACAATAAACCTTTAACTTTGCAGCGGAACTATGAACATAATTGTTCAATTTTACTCACAGGCAAATTCTCTTTTTCAATTTTCTTTGAGCCATTTATCACTGGAAAAATTAAAAAAAGAAAATGGCTTAAACTTTAACTGCGCTGTGGCCCAACCATCAAAATGGCCCGGCCCAACTCGGCACGTGCGCGCGCAGCCACCCAGGCCGCAACGTGGGCCTAGGCCGGCAAAGCGCCGCGGCGCGCTCGCCCGCCTAGGCCGATGAGTGGCCCGCTTCATCTCCACCGTCCGCGCTCATCCGACGGTCGCCCGGCCTCTTCGCCCGAACAAAAATCCGGCGTCGCGGCCGGCAACCCCAGAACCCTAGCCTCATTTCTTTCTCCCTTTCTCTCTCGCGCATCTCTCTCTCTCAGCAGCACGACGCATCTCGAGCGACAGCGAGCCGCGCCGGAGGAGACGACGAAGACGGCGCCACCGCGGGCCCTCTTGCCGGCGAGCGCGCTCCCCATCGGGAGAGCGCGCCGCCGTCAAGCGGCTCCGTGTCGGCGCCCTGTACCCGTACCCGCGCGGATGCACCTCGGCGACGAACACCGGCGCGGTCCGGTCTTTCCCGCACGACGGCGGAGATGGCAGCGGTGAGGTAAGCCACCGGCCTTTTTTTTTTTCCCCTTCTGCGTTTCTGCTTGTTTGGATCTTGCTTCTCTCGGTTTTGACCGATTTGGGGATGGGGATTGGATCTAGGGTTAGGGTTTTGGTTCCTATTCTTCTTCCCCTAGTTCGAGTCACGGGTTTAGGGTTCGGATCAAGCGATCTTGAGGCCGAGCCCCTTCTATCTTCACCCAGTTAGGGTTAAGGTTAAGGAACCCCTTCTATCTGCTCAGATCCGAAGGATCTAATCCGTTCTTTTCTTTGCTGTTCTCTTGATTCTCTTCCCGCGCGTCAGCAAGCCGGCGGTGGTACTCCATCCCGAGTGAGGCGGTAGTGACGGCGGTGGAGAAATCTTCCCCGGACCGTCCAATTTCTTTAGGGTTAGGGTTCTTTAGGAGGGTAATCCGAATCGAATTCGAAACCCCTTCCTTCTTTTTCTTTCTATCACCCGAATAGGGTTTAGGGTTCGATGAACCCTCTGTATTTCCTTTTTTTTCGATCCGAACCGGATCTAACTCATCTCCTTCTACACTGCTACCCCTAACACAATCCACACACTAGATCGACGGCTCTGATACCATTGTTAACTCTTTTGGATCGACTAGGAGTAGATCAGTGGGAATTTTGACTTCCATTCGAACACATAGATCCAGAGAGAGAGAGAGGCGAAAAGGGAGAGGTACAGACCGTCGGGCTTGGTGGACGAGCTCGAGGAGTCCATGGCGTCGGTGTCAGTGGCGGTGTGGCAGTGACGGTGTAGAGGTGGCGGAGTCCCGGCGCGGTGGAGCTACGGTGGTCCGGTGGTGCTTCCCGCCGCTGGCAGTGCCACCCTCTGGATCGGATTAGGGTTAGGATAGTGGGGCTGTGGCGGCGGTGAACCTCGTTCCCTGAGCCGTTTGCCCCACCTCCTCTTTATAGGCACTGTGCGACGAGGGCCCACCAGTCAGTAGATGGCTGGACGTCCCCGATCAGGACGCGGTCAAGGGGTCCGTCAGATCAATTCTAACACATCCGCCCCTTTTGTTTTGCGCACCAGTTGCTGTTTGTTGTAGGTTTATCATTTGGCAGCAGAATGTAGGCAAGACGCACGCCTAGCTGATGGCAAAACAGGGGGGGGAATTGATAAAGAGAAATCGGTTCCTGGGCACTGTCAGTCCCAGCAGCAATCAGTAACATGGTTTTGTGACAAAAATCGTTGTATTTATATGCTGGTACAGAATCACAATAAGGTATAGCCGGAGAACACTGGGTTCTCTCAAATACACTCTACCGATCTACATGACCTACTTATTGTTAATTCCATCACTTATTTCACTGAACTGTGATGGGCCGACAGCACCGCTGTTCCGAAGGTCACCTAGGTCCTGCCATGGAGGATATGTCAATGCTGCTGATCTTTGAAAGAACTCATTCGGTTTCACTTCCTCTCTTTTTGCTGCTATCTTGGCAGAAGGAGCCAATCTCAAGCTTATAAGCTTGTCACTCTTGATAAATTAAGTCAGATTTAATTTGCAAGGTCTTTTGCTAACTCTTCCTAGGTCCAGTTGAACCCATTCAAGTCAATTTTCTTGCAGTTCTGGGGCCCGTCAGTGGTGTCATTGATATTCAGATCCAATTTTGCTGCCTTGCGTGTCGTACTAAAACTGTCTCTCTCACGCCTGTCTAGGTGGCTTGGAGGCGTCATGCTTAGCTTGTCAAGGAACAAATCCTCTCTCACTCTTTCTTTTGCTTGTATATCGAAGGCCATGCATCCTATCTCCTTTCCTCTGTGAGCAGAAAGGCTGATTGATAGGATATCTTGATCTTTCTGTGAGCCATCACAAGCAGTTAAGCAGCTGTCAACTGACCCATCGCCAAGTTGGATGGTGTGTCCTTGTAGAATTTGGGAACCTTCAATCTCCTCAAAGCCTGTAAATGCATGCTGGAGGCATTCTGTCGATACCTTTGAGACTAATTCTGACAGTTGCATCTTCGCGGTTTCTACACCGACTGACCCTGCATTCTGTTTTGAAAGTGTCTCCTGTGCCTTTTCTAGCACAGATTGTAGGTACTTCCCTTGTGCTTCAATGCGGAGTTGCAAATGTCTTTGTACCTGTTGAAAGGCATCGTTTATGTGTAAGGTATCACGTTATCAGTACTTGAGCACTGACAGTAAAGAGGTTGCGACATGAAAAGAATAAATTCTTGATTTAACAATTGGTCAGTTTGTTTGAACTTTTTTTAGCATCATTAGTTTTTACATGTTCTTTTTTAAACTGTGTTCAGTCAAATTATGACAAGAATATATTCCTAGACAACCATGACTAGACCCTCTTGCATTGTGAGCCTCTTAGAAGTCATGCTCTGGTGTCCAGCATATACTTTTGTTGATAAATGAGCTATAGATGTTGATTGTGTGAAGGACAAACTATGTGGATGCTCTAAAGTTAGATATGCATGCATTACATACTTTTTTTTCTCTTGGATTTTTACTCTATCAGTAATATAGGAACTAGTGCTTGGCTAAAAAAATTGGGGTGATTGAAGCAATTACAAGTGATGTTTTTTTCTTAAAGGAATGGCGATTGAGATGTCATTTATTGACATGTAACATTATACATGATCTGACCATGTCCCTAAAGTTTACCAAATGATGGTCAAGCTACTTAATTTTTCTTTATTTGGATGTCTGTACATCAGGTACTTTCATGGCAAAATAAACCTTCATTCGATGAGTGTCCTAGATCTACTTAAAGCCTGGGTTGGGATACATTTTGCTATATATTTGGCCACGCAATCTACTCCAGTTTTCTACACTATAGCTCTCCTAGGGATGCATCAGTTAGAAAATGTAAACATTTATGTATTCGTAAGGAGTGTTTAAATTGAAGGGCGGGCCTGGTGCAAGCGGTAGAGTCTTACCGCCTGTGACCGGAAGGTCCCGGGTTCGAGTCGCGGTCTCCTCGCATTGCACAGGCGAGGGTAAGGCTTGCCACTGACACCCTTCCCCAGACCCCGCACAGAGCGGGAGCTCTCTGCACTGGGTACGCCCTTTTTTTAAGGAGTGTTTAAATGGTAATTTAGTTGGTAATTATTAATATGATTTATTTTCTTCTGCTTCTGTACCTCAAGTTGCTCATGCAGTCGGCGCTGTACTTCAATTTGCATCTGAAGGGCTTCACCTATGTGCACAGATCTGATAAAATGCAAATCCATGTTATCTTATGCAAACATGTTGAATCAAACATTTATTCATCTCTTACTTGTTTGTCTGGGTTCCAAGGTTTAAGTGGCTAGCTGGTGATCCATTTCCTTCAGGTGGTTTCTCTATTGCCATGGCGCAGCCAACCACTGAAGAGCAGAAAGGACTTTCAGTATTAAGCTTAATTGGAGGCTGATAACTGCTAGGTAATGAGAATGCTATAATTACCATTTTTTGCATTTCCACCGTTAGCTTGGGCGTGAATGTTTTTGCTTAGCCTGTATTTCTAGTAAAAGACAAATCAACTTAGTTTCTTGCCACAAGGCATACAAAGGAAAACACAATACTAGAAATTCAATGTCTACCTGAAGATGACTCTTAAGGTGGTATAGTGTTAGTCCAGGGACACCCACGAGTCTCATGATTGTCTTTGGTGTAGCTTCTGCAAATTATAGAATTTAGATGGTAATCTTCCTTATGCTAGCTTGTATGGTAGACATAGGGTTTAAACATGTACTTACTATCAGGCCCACCAAGTTGATTTACCGCCTCCACAAAACGCTCATGTAGTTCAGGTGTCCATTTTAACCTAGGTTTAGCATCAGTGGAAAGCACAAGCCCTGGCTCTGCTGGAATGCTCCCTCCTTGCAGAAGCATGTGCCTTTCTGGAGGGAATGCCTGCCTAGAAGACAGGAAATGGCTGTGGCTCTGAAGCTGTTGATGGTGATGATACATCTGGCATGAAGACATTGCAGGCTTAAAGGTTAGGACGTATGAGGAGATCTCTCTTTTTTCTCCTTTGTTTGAGCAAACCAAATAACATGCACATGATACATCTCATACCTCTTTAATTCTGTTATGTACTGATATCTGGTTGCAGACTCCAAAATCCTGATAGGAACTGTCTCTTGCAGTTTATCGGCCCTTTGTTTTTGGTGAACTAAGGGTTGTTCGTCACACAATGGCGTTATATTCCTTGGGGGAATGCTCTAACAAACTATGACTACTCATGCCAGGATGTTATGCAGAGTCTGGTTTTATAAGGAAGGCAAGTGAGGAGAGAATTTCGAATCGTTAGAACAAACACTCAAGCCTGGCCCAATCTTGGTGGCAACTGAAAAGAGGTATAGAGATATTATCCTTATTCCTTAAGGTACCAATCTTTTTATTTGTCAATTCTGCAAACACATTTGGATTCTGATTCCAACACTAACAAATATAGTTGATATTGCTTTAGCTGGCACAAAGGGGTGTAAGGGGGTTGCAGGCATACATATTTGTTAAGTTTATTCTTCTTGCAGATAAAAGTGGGAACCTTGTTCTCAGGAAAAAAATTTGAGATGTAGTTTGTAATAATGCCATTGCGCTTGTAGGCCTACTATATCTTATATGTTCAGCTCTAATTCCACTCTCCACCATACTTATATCATAAAATCAAAGGGCAACATCTGTGCACAGTCGGTATTGATTAAGATTTAGGATTCTGTATGTTCAGCAACCATGTATTCTATAGCAACTGTATGCCTTCAGGTATTACAAGCATGGCATATAGATTGTTAAGTAATCTACTGCTCCCTAGTGTGAAAGCACGGCAGGGGAAGGCGGCGCCGAAAAGGCTCCCTGCTGTGGTACCGTAGCCGCTGCAGGGGTAGGCGCCGAACGGCTCACCTGCCGCACTGTAGCCACAGCAGGGGCAGGCACCAAAGTCAGCCCTGCTGTCACATCTGGTCACTATAGCAGCATGACAGCTGTACTAGATTGGATGGGTAGAGTTGTATATATAGTTTGCCACTGCAACTCAGTAAAGAGAGCGAGTTCAGTTTTGCCATCTCCTCTGCAGAGTTCCGGCCAACGCTGGTGCTTGTGCTGTGTGTGAGTGTGCTCTGTTCTCCCTCCCTTCTTCTACCTCTAGCCAAAGTGTGTGGTCGGACAACGATAGTTGTGGTCGGCAACGCTGGTGAGTGGTCGACTCATCCGTGCCGGAGATCCAGTGGGCCAACATAGATGATAGGAGAATAATTTTTCTCATTCATACGAGAGCAAAGTTTAAATTTCTTTTTGGCCAGATGCATCGAGAAGAAGAATTCAATAAAAGTTTTTAATATAAATAAAGTGAAAAGGAACTCATTCCCTTAGTGATGCCTTCCTTGGGACTGCACAAAAGCAAAGCATGGAATATTGGAATAAGCATATGGTTCTCTTTTGTCTCCTCATGTAAGTTTTGTACTTGTTCGGCTGTCAGGGAAACGGAAAGTGGATAGACGAATCTGATGGGCTGTGCAACTATATGGAGTCCTCTGAGTTTGGCTACTATCTGTTCTACATAAAGCGCAGAAAGTCTGGGCTTAAAAATGACGGTTAGTTCCTTTACTTCACTGCTCTACTTCCTCTGTCCCAAAATAAAAGACGTTTTGGGTTTTCGTGCCACAAATTTGACTCGATTTGTAGAAAATACGTGCAATATTTATATCTTCAAATAAATTTGTTAAAAAACTAGACAAAAAGATCTTTTCGATGATACTAATTACTTAGCATAAATATTTATATATTTTAATATATAATTGCCGACAGTCGTTTCTCGGGAAGCGAGAACGTCTTTTATTTTGGGACAGAGGGAGTATGTTGCTTTTGCTTTGAAAACATGCTTATCTGAACCGACATGGTTAGTCTTGTTTATTTGCCCCTCCATACTTGAGCAAAACTGGCTCAGGTTCAATGTTTGATACCTCAACTGCCATGAAGTCCAGTCATATGGAATAGGCGGCGCTTACCTTTGTCTTATCTGGAGTGTTTTACTGTAAATTGTGAGGTGCTACAATTTTGCGCTGTAGAGTTCCTTCCAGTTGGTTTGTTCTGTAGTCCAGCTTTTCCATAAGGGAATAGTCTAGTTATATTTTTTCCCATGATTCCATTTGTTCTGGTCATTGTGAGTTACAAATGCAAGATGTGCCACCTCGTAAGTTGTACCTCAGAAATCAAATCATTAACATGGTAAATCAGATATACGAATTGCATTAAGATCCTCTCAGGCCTTTTCAAAAATAAAAGCTTGACAGGAATTCTTGGAATAGCAACTAGTACGAGTGGTCCAAGGCAGCAGCATCTTCTTTATAGATTGCTATTTTGCAAGGTTTGCTTGTTGCCATTTCATGGTTCAACCAGTCTTCTCTGAAGTACTTATAGGCCCTTGTTCCATCCATTAGGATAAGAAAACCGTCCTCCTGATATGATATGATATGATATGATCTGTACCCCCATTCCTGTTCAAGTGAGGCATGCTGGTGCATTTATGTCGTTCCAAACCAAAATCACCCTATGCATGATTCCACGAGCATTGGCTGGGGAATTGTGTTCAATTATGGCCGATCATCAGGAGCATAAGCTGAGACCACTGCGCATTAGAACATGGAATAAGCTCTTTCTGGCCGTAGCTTTATCTTTCACATTGAATCCAACGAAAGCGAGCAAGGGGAGGAGAACGGAGAACTTTATCTTTGCGCGGGGATTACATTCAGTTGTTGCTTGTTAAGTGCTCGGAATCGTATGCTCCTGCTTTCTCTGTAAGCACTCTTGACAATTATCGTTTTCGCAGGCAGGCCGGCGAGCACGTGATCCCGCGGGAAGGGAATAAGGAAAAACGATGTTGACAAAGCTGCTGAAGGGGAATCCTGCGCTTTTTTGGAGGCAAAGATGAGAAGGAATATATCGCCTGTGTCGACCTCGCCTGCTTGGTCCTTCTGTTCCGTGACTTGGTTGTGCTCCGCTGGATCGTGATCGTGCCAGCCGCCAACAGGATGAGCACGTGTGAACCGTGGCCTAGGTATGTTATTGGTTGCTCTAAGAGTGTTTTGCTCAGCGGTCGTTCTTTGTTTACTGTATGAACTCATCCATTCGTCTCGGTTGCAGAATACGGGAACACTGCAAACGATGCGAATTGGAAAGTATATAGAGTAAGACCGCTAGACAAGCTGTTTCTATAGTTTGGTGAAATGAACTAATGATACTTATGCTCGCATAAAAAACTAATGGTTCATGTATCTATTACTAGTACCCTTGTGGATGTTTTTATTTCTCACCTCGTCAGAGAAGAAATATGTTTGCTTCTGTTCGTGTAGAGTTGGCAGAGCAAATATGGGCGTTCCACAGATTAGTTGCCTAGTTGGAGACAGGTTATTCTGGGCTTAGCAGCTTTGATGAAAATTGATCAAATGAACATGGCGGATCTATCACTAGCAAAGCCGGAGCCTGGCCCAGCAGCTTGGCAGCTCTCTGTGGCCCAGCTGAAGCTGCTGAAGTGCTGAACTATCGAAAACAGGCTGCCATCGCTCCTTGCAAGTTGCACCCGACCCGCTTTTTCGACCGGGCTTCACGTGCGGCGCCGGCCTGCGATCCACACCGTTGCACGGAGGCAGCAGGATCGCCAGGCGAAAACGTGTAACTGTTGCTAAAAAAAGAAGTGAAAACGTGTAGCTTGTGTATATTTTTATAGAGTATAGAAACCATTTCAGGTCAATCGAAAACTCATTAATTTTAACTTAACTGTTTAGTATTGACACCGATGCAATGCTGACAGAAATTGAACAAAATAAAAAAATAAAATATGACAATGGTAACAAAAAGGGGTATAAACGACCTCATTTTTTGGGAAACGATTCCCAATCGCTGCTCGCCTCACTGGCTCACTGTCTAGCGGCTAGCGTACACGGAGTGAACCGTGGTAGTTGGCCGTTCCCCTCAAAAATGTCAGGCCTGATCCGTTAGGTGACACAACTAGGGTGATTGGTTGAGTGTCTAGCGAGAGCCCGGATGGGAACGAGGACCATCCCATAGTGGTCAGCATCTGTACGTACATGCATGACTAGTTTGGTTGGTTGGTCTATTCTACATAGGCTGCGTTGATCCTTTGAATGGTTGGATGAGCTGACTTTTTCGCCCGGTTTAGAGACAACAGATGTACCACAAGCCCCAAACTTGCACCACGCCAGCCAAGCTCGCCAGAAATAGTTTCAATTTCGTTTCTATAGAGCCAAGCCGATGGGAGAATCTTGCCTCAGCTGGTCCTGTCTCAAGTCTGTGTACAGACATCCAAACAGCATTTCCTTGCATCCCATGGGCTAGGCTAACCCATATGCACCCATCCAAACACGCTAGAAGTTACCACCACATCATATGGTGCACATGAGTGTATAGGCCACTTGACACATAGTTAAGTTGGTCCTCGCTAAATGATCCATCACGTGTCATAAAGTCGCACCAGACCATACGATGACCACTCAGTAGGGTCAAGTCTGAAATTGAAACATACATAGTGTCACCGAATGATATGCCAGTCGGGTCTCAATCATCTAGTACACTCTCCGACATTGAGGCCTAGATGTGTTGAACCTTCCTCAACCTCCAACAATTCTTATATAGTTGAGTAGGGTTTCAATCATCTAGTATACTCTCCGACATTGAGGCCTAGATGTGTTGAACCTTCCTCAATCTCCAGCAATTCTTATATGGTTGTACACTTGTACTCCACTATGTCAAGTGTTATCATCACCATCACATTAGGTCACATGGATAAAATTGTCTTCCACGTGGCCACTCCATGACTCTCATGGCAACTTTAATGTTTGGTCTAAGGGCAACTTTAGGAGTCTCTTTATACCCTTCTTATTGATAGAAATGGAGATTTTAGTAAAAAAAGAAATTCTCCAACACTTTCTTTAATTAGATCTTTAAATATTGTCATCATTTATTTTGGATTATGTTCATTTGCCAAAGATGGAGAGCGAAATTTGTTCTCGGGAGTGAGCACAAGAGACAGAAAAGTTGTTGGAGAGTAAAAAAAATATAAAGAATAATCTTTATTTAAATAAATAGCTCTCCAAAGGATGATTTAGAGAGTGAGTTCTTAGAGGTGCCTCAAGGAGAGGGAAATCAACACATGTATTTAGTTTTATCTAGATAACACTGATTTCTCTCTCCATAACTTTAGTTAGTGTCATGTCATCCAACTTGCTTATGTAGCACCTATTCATTGAGAATGAAACTACTATAAGACTAGCCTAAACAAAGCATCCTACATGACCAATGTTTATGTTTGCTTCTCATTTTTATGAAACTTGATATTTTAGAAGGTTGCTAGGTTTTGTGGTAACAACGTAATAACCCAATTGGCATCATGATTTAATTTGGTTCATTTTGGCAGGGATGAACCAAAATTCGAACCTCAAAGAGTCCCAAATAGCCCGATTCTCTGTAACCGGAGTATAGAGAATTGGCTAAAAAGACGCGAATGTTGAATTAGAAAATCAACGTAGTTGTACAGTCCATGAATTGAAAAAAGTCTACATAACCCTCAACTATTCATGATGTATTACTTCGCCTCCCAAACTATAAAACCGGATTTTCTACCCCTGAGCTTTCCAAAACCGGTCAAATAACCTTCCCAGGCGGTTTTGGACGGTAGTTTGCTACAGTGACTGTGATTTTGTCTTTTTCTTTTTTATTTATTTTCGTAGAATTCTTGAAAAATCATAGTAAATCACAAAAAATCATATAATAGAATATCTAATTTTGTTGGACTCCACATGAGTAAATCTACATAGTAAACATATAATATGGTATGTTTTAGTACAAAGTTTTTGCTGTAGTTTTAGATCTATGCTTTTTCTGTAATTAATTAGAATAAATCATAGCTGCAGCTTCAATGGTCCAATTATAGTGAAATTTTTATGGTGAGCTAATTATTATATGCTTGAACTGTAGTAAAAAATTCATATTCATTGGATCATATATAGCTTAGTTATTGATAAAGCATAGATTTAACAAACATAAACCTAAATTAATCTATAACTAAGTCATACATGATCCAATGAGTATGAAAATTTTACTACAGTTCAAGCATATAATAATTAGCCCACCATAAAAATTTCACCACAATTAGACCATAAAAGATGTAGCTATGAATTATTCTAATTAATTACAGAAAAGCATAGATCTAAAGCTACAGAAAAAACTTTATACTAAAGCATATCATATTATATATTCAGTGTGTAGATCTACTCATATGGAGTCCAACAAAAATGAATTTTCTATTTTATAATTTTTCTATGATTTACTATGATTTTCAAAGATTTAGCGAAAATAAATAAAAAAGAAAAAAATAAAACCATCAAAACCGCTTGGATGTTATTTGACCGGTTTTAAAAAATTAGGGGTAGAAAATCCGGTTTAATATTTGAGGATTAAGTAGTCCACACTAAAAAATCTTAGGGATTACGCACGTACTCATAATTAATTATCTTCGTGCTCAAGAAAGGGAAGAAAACCAAACGCTTTCTTCGAGACAAGAAAAACGATAGAGGGCTTGTTTAGTTCTAGGACGTTGAGGTTACTGTAGCACGTTCGTTTTTATTTGGTAATTAGTGTTCAAACATGAACTAATTAGGTTTAAAACGTTCGTTTCGTAATTTTCCACCAAACTGTGCAATTAATTTTTTTCATCTATATTTAATGCTCTATGCATAGGATGTAAATTTTCGATGTGACAGATACCGTAGCATTTTTAGGATTTCAGTGTGGAATACTCGTATGGTATGCGAGCACCGAGCGAGAGCATTTTATACCATAATTAACCTAGCCAATTTCCGAAGGGCCCACGACGTGGCCCACTTCCATCGCCCTTCATATATAATATAATAATACTCGTTTCTTCTCCGACCCATCCGCCTTGCCTCTACTGTTCCCTTCCCTCTCCTCGCCGCTCCGCGCCGCCTGATCAATCGCCCAACGCCCCCAACCCTAGGCGGCAATGTCCCTCCGGGCGGCATTGGCGGACGTGGACATGGAATGCGTCGTGACGGGGCCGGAGGAGATATGGCGGCGCCGGCCCAAGACCAAGATCGTCTGCACCCTAGGTCCGGCCTCGCGCTCCGTCGAGATGTGCGCGCGTCTGCTGCGCGCCGGCATGTGCGTCGCACGCTTCAACTTCTCGCACGGCTCCCACGAATACCACCAGGAGACCCTGGACAATCTACGAAAGGCCATGGACCTCATCGGCCTCATCTGCGCCGTCATGCTCGACACTAAGGTCCACCCTGCCTTCAACTCGCTTCATGTGCTCCCCCGCCTTAGCGCGCCGTCGTTTATCTCGTCAACCTATTTTTTTTTAAAAAAAATATATATTTTTGGCCGATTTAGGTTTCCGTTGTAGGCTGTTGATCCGATCTTGTACGTTGTTTTGTTTCCCTATGTTGATTTGCGATTATGTTTAGAGTTGCACGCGTGAACGATTTTATTAGAACTTCAGAGTTCGGTTGAGCGTCAAAATTGTCGCTTGGTGGTAATGATCGACCCCCTAATAAAGTACTATTTTGGAAGTTAGCTTCTGTCGGATGTCATGTGTTGTTTGTTCTTTATTTTTTGACATGTGCCTTGTCCGTACTGGTTGAGGCAAGGGTAAGATTGCGTCTTCTTCTGCCGTGCCGTTTTTTATTAACCATCAATTTTTAGTTTGGCACCTGACATTTTTCCAGGTACATATTGTTTCAATGGCATTTATAATCAGCATTAGTATTTCTTGCTGATTATTTGCATCCGATTTGTTTATGTAAATCACGGTGGTATTGGTTAGTGGGTTGGTTAGATGTGTGTATGTGGTTGACATTTGTGGCGTGGCCAATTGCAATTTGTGTGGCTGACCCAGACATAGTTTTGTTGCGTGCAACTTGCATTGTCCATGCACTTATTGTATGATGGTTGGGAAGGCCTACAGAATTTGGATGTCATTAAACTTTTTTTTATTGTACTAGTTGATAGCTCTGAGGTACCTAATGGGCTATTCGCCCTCCCGAGTCCCTTTTTGACATCTGTAGGTTCTCTTGTTTGATCTACTCTCTTTTTTTTTGGGTTGCTGTCAAATTAATTAGCCATGTGAGCTAATTTCTTTGTGAAGTCTTGAGTGGTTGATTTATGATATGACGGGCATTGACATATCATTACTCTTTGTTTGAAAAACATCCACATCATTTTTTTATATATGATATATTATCTGTTCATTCACCCATAGACTACTGCTTTCAACATAAATGATTAGTTGTGCTTGAAAGCTGGCTTTTCAGATATACAATACAATGGGCTAGATGGTTCCATTCACTTATTTTTTTTTTTAAAGGAGGTGAAACCTCTACTTTTTAGAAAGCAATGTAACCAGCGCCTACTACAAGACTAGATTTCCACTACATCAGAAGGATAAACTGAACTAGGCTTGAAAGCTTTGAGCCAGCTTGTCACGGAGGCCTTCATCTTGACGATCTGATCCTGATCTTTCTCCTTAAGCTTGGTGCTCCACTTCTGCAGCACGACAACGCAATGTATATAATATCAGTTGGAGCCTGAGGAAACGTCTTGTTAATAGCCATCTTGTTTCTGGACGTCCACAGAGCCCAAGCAAATCCTGAAAATATGAAAATGATCAATCTAGTCGGGAAGGGCCCCTTGCCCCTTAGCCAAGTGTTACAAAACTCTTACCAGGATCTAGGATATGATTCTAACTGAAAAACTTCCTTGAACATTTCCCAGACCAGTTTGGCCAAATAGCACTTAAAGAAAATGTGATCAGCCGTTTCAGTGCATTCACAAAGACAGCAGATCATACTGCCCTTCCACCCTTTTTTAGCCAAATTGACAGCAACTTATCATTAAGTAATTGCCAAAGAAAAAACTTAATTTTTAGGGGAACCTTGCTTTTCCAAATAAAGCCCGCAACCCTGCTCTTGACTCCCCTGTCAGTCAGGAAACGATACAACGATTTAGTTGTAAACAGATTCTTCTTTTCTAAAGCCCATATGACTCTATCAGCTCTGTTGTCAGTCAATGAACAGTCATTGAGCATATTTAGCATACCTAACCAGCTATCGTATTGCTGCATTGATAAGCATCTTTTAAAATCTAGCCCCCAGGAACCCTCATCCCAACAATCAGCTACATGACAGTAAGGATCCCTAATCAATCTGTACAGATCATTGTAGATAATTTTCAAGGGAGCTCCCTGTATCCAACAATCCTCCCAAAACCTACACAATCTGCCATCTCCCACCTTGAAGATAGCTCCCCACTTGAAAAGATGTTTGACACTGTGTAATCCTCTCCAGAATTGTGAACCTCCTGTAGCCTTTGAATCAAAGAAATTATTTTCCCCCAAATACTTAGCCTTCAGAATCTTGAACCACAGTTCATCCAGCTGTTGTTATATTTTCCAAATCCATTTAGCCAAGAGACTCTCATTCATTATTTTGGTATTTATAATGCCCAGACCCCCTTGGTCTTTAGGCCTACAAACCATCTCAAACTTGGCCATATGGTATCTGAATTTCTCCTCAGCACCTTGCCAGAGAAATTTGGCCCTAATGGTATCCATATTTTTATGAACCCCATCCTTGAGAAGGTAGAAACCCATGCAGTAAAGAGGGATAGAACTCAAACAAGTATTTGTTAGGATTTGCCTCCCCCCAGATGTAAGCAATATACCCTTCCAAGGATCCAACCTTTTAAGCATTTTCCGAGTCATGGGACTAAAAGCATTCATGTTCAAATGTTTATAACTGATAGGCACTCCTAGATATTTCATTGGGAAATCACCTAGCACACAATTCAGCATATTAGCCATATTCTCCTTTTCTAACTGAGACACACCAAAGACAAAAACTTCGCTTTTATGATAATTAATTTTTAGCCCCATAAGCCACTCAAAGCAATATAGAATAAGTTTCAGATTCCTAATAGACTGTTCAGACGCCTCAATCATGATGACCGTGTCATCAGCATACTGTATGTGAGATACCCCCCCAGGGTCAGGTCTGTTAACACACCAGAGAGCTGACCCTTACTAATTGCAGATTGTAACATGACCCCAAGAGCATCAGCAACAATGTTAAAAAGTAAGGGAGAGAGAGGATCTCCTTGCCTCAGCCCCCTATATGTTCTAAAATAAGCACTCCTTTCGCCATTGACGTTAATGCGCACCCTACCTTCTCTAACAGTACTCATCACCCATTCAATCCATTTTATAGGAAACCCTTTTCCTTTCATTACCTTCTCCAGGAAGTCCCACCTTACTCTGTCATATGCTTTTTCAAATTCAATTTTTAAAACTAGGCTCCTTGCCTTGGATTTATGTAATTCATGGACGACCTCATGAAGAACGACAACCCCCTCAAGAATGTTTCTCCCCTTAATGAACCCTGTTTGATTTTTTCCAATTATCTTTTTAGCCACAGGAACCAACCTATTTGTCAGTACTTTAGTGTACCATTTGTAATCTACATTCAAAAGACAGATGGGTCTAAATTGTTTAATAGTATTGGTGTCTTTTAACTTTGGCACTAGTGTGATTACCCTGTAATTCAGTCTCTTGATATCCAGGTTATTCTCCCAAAAGTCCTGAAACATCTTCAACACATCCCATTTAATCACCTCCCAACTATTCTTAAAGAAGCTAACACTGAACCCATTCGGGCTAGGAGCAGAATTTTTCTTCATCTCCATAATAACCCCCTTGATCTCCTCCATTGAGAAGGGGCAAATCAGACTGACCTTGTCTGCCTCTTCTAGAGTCAACTCCTGAGGCCAAAAATTATCTCCTAACTCCATGAGACAGGAATCATTATGGCCAAATAACTGTTTGTAATAGTCCACAATGTGGGTAGTAATATCTTTCTGACCCCTTATCTCTCCTCCCTCCAAATCAAGATAAGCAATAGCCTTTTTCCTTCTCCTACCATTAACAAATTGATGGAAAAATTGGGTATTTGCATCCCCTTGCAACACCCAATTCTTCCCAGCCTTCTGCTTCCATTGGAGATCCTCCAACCTACTCATTTCATCTAGTTTGTCTTCTAGACCTATCCTTTCGTCCCATTCCTCCGTAGTTAGGAGTCTCTTTTCTGCTATTAAGTCAATTTCCTCAACCCTCTTAGACAGACCCAGCTTAATCCTTTTCTGTTCGCCCATATTCTTTAAATCCCATCCCCTCAAAATTTTTCCTTAAAGATTGAAGGCACCCATGCCATACATCCAGCGAATAGCTATTAGTGGCAAATGAGGATTTTATATCAGACCACTTATCAGTAACTCTCTTTTTAAAATCTTCTGATAAGAGCCATTTTTCTCTTGAAAATAGAAATATTTGGCCTTGTTATCCCTACGATCACCAGTGTCAAGAACCAACGGCGAGTGATCAGAGCCAACCCTGGCTTTCGACCAAGCAAAAGCCGAAGAAAAATGTATGTCCCAACATGTAGTGGCTAAGATCCTGTCTAGCTTAACTAAGGTAGGGTTCTGTTGTTTGTTAGACCAAGTGAATTTCACCCCACTGACATGAATTTCTCTCAACTGGAGATCACGTATAAAGTTGTTAAAGAGGCCCATCAGCCTAGGATCACCATGACCCTGGTTCCTCTCCTTATTATTTCTTATCAGATTGAAGTCCCCACCCATGAGGATTGGAAGGTTTTCATTAGTACAGAAGTCCTTAACCTCTCTGATGAAATCATCAGAACATGAATGTTGGGCTGGACCGTATATATTCAAAACCCAAAACCTGTAATTAGTGCTCCATTCACTTATTCGTGAATGACATATTCTCATTTGCCTTATTAATATTATTGTTTTTATTATTCTCTTAGAAAGACAGCAGTGTAGCACAGGAAGAGGATAAATAGTACTTAGAATCAATGCTGTTGTAGTAAATAATGAATCTTTTTTATATCTGGAGGGATCGACACATTGTTTCTTATCATATGATATGATATATGATCATTTCAGGAATGTATTGTTCTATGGTGCCATAAGGATGACATTCTCATGGGCCCTATTATTGTTGTTGTTTTTATTTTCTTATTAGACTATTAGATAGAATAGGTAGCAGTGGAGCGTGGAAAGGGGATAAGCAATACTTAAAATCAATGCTGTAGTACTAATTAACAAACCATTGTTTACCAATAGGGATAGATGCATTGGTTCTTTTTATACGATGTATATATTATGATTATTTCAGGAATTCATTGTTAAATAAGACACTATTTTTGTTCAGGAGATAGATGGCCTTGCTGCTCATCAGGAAGAGCCTTGAAAATGAACTTTTATGCTGCATTAGATGTATTGTATTGTGATTTGGTCCATGCTATACTGATGAAATATGTATTGTCTGATTACTTCTTACTGTTGATCATTTTGATGATAGACAAGATTGTAGTGTTGTTGCACAAATCTCAGCATGGAGTTATGGTTCTTGGTTAAGCGTGGTAGATACCTGGTAACATGAAGATGCAATTACTTTTGATGATTATTAGAGGTTCATCAATTATCTATTTTGCTTGTGATGGATTTGACTAACTCTGCATACTGTTTGCCACAAATTTATTTAATGCTAAGAATATTTTTCATGCATCTTCTTGTCAAACTGTTTGAATATCTTATGGAACTTAATGCATGAAAAGAAGAATGCATCAACTTATTTAGTTTGCTGAAACCTTGTAATTTACTATTTTTGTACAGGGACTAGAGATCCGCACAGGTTTTTTGAAAGATGGCAAGCCTGTAAAGCTGACACGGGGGCACGAAATAACCATCACCACTGATTATTCCATTAAGGGTGATGAGAATATGATTTCCATGAGCTACAACAAGATTGCTGTAGACCTGAAGCCTGGGAGCACAATACTATGCGCTGATGGCACCATCACATTCACTGTGCTTTCCTGTGATCCTGTGCAAGGCCTGGTTCGTTGCCGTTGTGAGAACTCAGCTCTGCTGGGGGAGAGAAAGAATGTCAATCTTCCTGGGGTGATCGTGGATCTCCCAACCTTAACAGAAAAGGACAAAGTGGATATCCTTCAGTGGGGTGTCCCAAACAACATTGACATGATTGCGCTATCCTTCGTACGCAAAGGATCAGATCTTCAGATGGTCAGAGGTGTGCTCGGTGAGCATGCCAAGTCAATACTACTTATGTCCAAGGTATGCCCATCTCCTGTGTCTATATGTCTGTATGAATTTGTGTTTTTTTAATGCTGCCATTTGCTTACTTTGTGCCATCAAACTCTTTGCAGGTTGAGAATCAAGAAGGTGTTGCCAATTTTGATGAGATACTTTCAAACTCAGATGCTTTCATGGTTGCCAGAGGGGATTTGGGAATGGAGATACCCATCGAGAAGATATTCTATGCTCAGAAGGTGATGATCTTCAAATGTAATGTGCAAGGAAAGCCTGTTGTTACTGCAACCCAGATGCTGGAGTCAATGATTAAATCTCCCCGCCCTACAAGAGCAGAAGCAACTGATGTTGCCAATGCTGTCCTGGATGGCACTGACTGTGTGATGCTTAGCGGTGAGACTGCAGCTGGGGCATATCCAGAGCTAGCGGTGCAAACAATGTCAAGGATTTGCCTACAAGCAGAGTCACATACAGATTATGGAGCAGTTTTCAAGTTAATCAGTAGTGCTGCCCCAATCCCTATGAGTCCACTGGAGAGCTTGGCGTCATCAGCAGTTCGAACCGCCAACATCTCTAATGCATCACTCATCTTGGTCCTCACAAGGGGAGGCACAACCGCAAGGCTCGTGGCAAAGTACAGGCCAGCAATTCCAGTGATAACTGCTGTGGTCCCAGAAATGAAGACGGATGATAATTTTAACTGGACTTGCAGGGATGAGCGCCCTGCCAGGCACAGCATGATTGTGAGGGGCCTGATCCCGATGCTCAGCGCCGCTACAGCGAAGGCATCTGATACTGAGTCGACTGAGGAAGCCATTAGCTTTGCCATAGATCATGCGAAGAAGCTCAAGATCTGCAAGTCAGGGGATTCAGTCGTCGCCTTGCATCGTATTGGTGCATCATCTGTCATGAAGATCTTGACAGTCAATTAGTGTTGGTGACGTGGGTGGGCCTTCACTGGGGCAAATTTTGTTAGGCTATGAATGGACCCTTGCTAGTTTCATTTTGTTGGCTCATTTGCATGTCTTAGAGTGAGCTTCGGAGGTAAAATTTGGCTTTTTAAGAATGGAAAAAGCCTTTTGCTGTAGGGAACTACGCAATGCTTTTGAGCATTTTTATATGTTTGGGATCTTAAATAATGGGGCCGTTCTGGTCTTATAAGACCAGCCGGCTGGCTGATCTCCCCTCTCAATGCACTGTTTATCAAACCAGTCAAACAGTGTTTTTTCTCTCACAATAAATCAGCAGGAACAGTGTTTTTCAGCCAATTTTTAGACTAGCGAACGGGGCCAATACATTATATACAATTATATCTATGCTACAATGTGTTTTGTGACCTATTGATATCGTATTTTCATGTTATTTGGTGATTCAGTTCTTATGCTACGCACGGTAGTTCATAAATTGAATATTCAGTCTTTTAATCCGAGCTGCTGAATTAGGCCTCGTTTAGTTGGCGAAATTTTTTGGGAAATGGTATTGTAACACTTTCGTTGTTATTTGGTAATTAGTGTTCAATCATAGTCTAATTAGGATTAAAAGATTCGTCTCGTGAATTTCGTTTAAACTGTGTAATTGGTTTTATTTTTTATTTATATTTAATGCTTCATACATGCGTTCAAAGATTCGATGTAACGAAAAATCTTAACAAATTTTGAAAAATTTTGAAAAATTTTGAAAATTAAACAGGCACCGGTTACGAGAGCCTCAGCAACACGGTGGGAAACGCGTGCAAACACGGTGGCAAACTCCTACCAACTCAAACCGTGTGGACCATAGCAAGACTATGAGCACATACTTCAATGTAAATTTCGTTTTTCAGGTAGTTATAATGAATCTTAAATTTAACTATGTTTATAGAAAATAGCATCAACATTTGCATCTTCACGTAGAAATACTATAAAAATACATTCTATGACTAATCTAATAATACTTATTACACATAAGTATTAATATTTTTTTTCATATATTTGATCAAACTAGGAGAAGTACTTGCACACAGCCTGGCATGATCATCATCTCACCTACTTGCAGAGTTACTGTAGTTTGCATATCAAAGCTTGCAGAGTTACTGTAGTTTGCAATCAAAGCAGAGTTGAGAGAATGAAATTTCCAGCAGCAGATTTGAGAGAATGGAATTTCCAGCAGAAATCATAGGAGCATCAGTCGGAAGATGCAATCTCCAATATCCATACACCTGAACTGAAGCAAAACTACAGCCAAAGAACACAAATGCAGCTTTACAGTGGCCAAAAAAAAGAACTCCAATCGTCAAGTACAAGACAAGTTCCTACATGGCTACACCACCGCATATATTATCATTATGTTCAAGTGTTCATTAGCATCACGACGACGACGAGGAGTTGCCGTTGGATCTTTGCGAGAACAGCCCGCCAAAGGGCCACGAGAACCAATGCCTCCTCCCGCCGCCGCTTCCCCCGTCGCCGCCGCGCGCGTTGCCACCGGACTCAACACCAGCGCCTCTGCCGCTGCCAATTGCCTCCGCCGCCGGCTCCTCCGTGGGCAGCTGGTGCCTGCACACAGGGCAGGAGCTGTGCATCTCCAGCCACGGCAGGATGCACTGGTCGTGGAACCGGTGCTCGCACGGCATCTCGCGCGCCTCGCCGCCGCCCGCGACCTCGTCCAGGCACACGGGGCAGGTGAAGGCCTCGCGCACCCGGACCATCGGCAGCGCGGCCACGGCCTCCTTCCTGGCCAGCGGCGTGCCCTGCCGGCTCGGGTCGGTCTCGGCCAGGTACTCCAGCAGCAGGTCCAGCCCCGGGCCGAGGAACAGATCCCCGAGCGTCAGGCCGCCGGGGCCCAGGGCGGCGGCGGTGGCGCCGCGGTCCCCGTCCCTTCGCTCTTGTCCCATGAGCATGGCGCGCGCGTCCGCGGGGCTCATGAGCACGACCCGCTCGCGCCCGCCGTCGGCGTCGCCTTCCTGGAGCGCGTTGAGCAGCTGCAGGAGGGCGATGTTGCGGTACTGCCTTCGCGCCAGAGCAGCGAGGTCCCCTCCGCCGCCGTCGAGGCCGTGGCGGCCGGACGAGGCGGCGATGAAATCCATGAGGACAGGCGCCCAGAGCGAAACCTCGTGCTCCAGCGCCGCGTCCGAGGCGTTAACGCTCGCTTCGCCGGCATCACGGCCTCGGATGTTCTCGTCGCCACTGCCTCGCTGGTCGCCCGCCATCTCCTCCACGAAGCCGGTGTGGCAGTGGGGGCACTTCACCTCCTCCATGCCCAGTTCGGGCCGTATGATCAGCGAGCACATGTGGCAGTAGTACCTTGAAGCTGCGCCGGATTCCTCTTCCATGTCTTTCCTTCGCCTCCTTGCTCAAGAAGACAAGAACTACACCCAAGACGAGAATTCGATCAGACCTATATTCTGAACAGATGATTCGGACCAGATGGGGACTCTTCCATTACTTTTTTATCAGAAAGTAATGAACCAATGATTCTTGGCAATTTCTAAGTTCTAACAGAAAGCACACGGACACCGAACCATGTCGCAGAACACTACAACAAGATCAATTTTGAAATGAGAAGTACAAGTCAATGAATGGAGAGAACATTACCAGCCAAGAGAGACGCAGCCTATGCTTCTCCAAGAACAACCACCTGTACGCTCTACACGATCACCAAATCCGATTCGTCTTCCTCGATCTGGGAAAGAGAACGAGAGCAAGCAACAAGAGGGAAAACAAGCGAGAAGAAGAATCCAGAACAGCAAGGAAGACGATTTATCCACACCAAGACCGGGCGAGGCGACCGAGCAAGAGAGGATGGCGACGCACGCAACTCGGATATTTTAAAACCGATGGGCGCCTTGGGATAATTAGCGACTTCTTGTTTCGTATCATCAGCCGATTGCTCGGTGATTACGACATGAGCTTTGTTGGTTGCGCAACGCCAGCGGAGAGCTCCATCTGCGGAGACTGAAGTCTGAAGACTGAATTTTTTGTATGGGTTCTCGATTGCTGTCACAAGGATCCAAGTCGTACAATGCAATACGGCCAAACTGAAGAACGAGACTAGGGATAGTGCCAATGTGAGGATTGTGTTTTGTGGTAAAACTCTCTTTTTTTTGACAACATGGTAAAAAATTTCTTTGACGAATCCGAGACGTTAGCTAATATGATCAGTTTTGACTGGATCAACGATAGAGTGCCGTGACAGAATGACAGCTATCTAACCATCTCTGCACTCTGCTTGATTACTTGAGGCTTTTTGAGAAAATTATTACGGAGAATTGTTCGTATCAAATCACACTTTACAGCAAATCCAGCGACAAGTTTCCACAACAAATTTCAACGCCATGTTCGCTCGGGCTTGATTGACTTATAAGTCGTATTTTTTTTAGTTAACGAATAATACTTTTTTCTTATACTAAATCAGTTAATAGTGCTTTTAGTTATAGTTTATCAGCCGAACAAGCCCAAACGAACAGGACGAAAGTATTTGTAAGTAATAGTTTTTCCCCCCGAAACATATTATAGATTTTGACACTCACATATACATAAGAACCTTACATCTTTATGAATATACACACAAAGTTTACATCTATGAACACATCTAAAAGATTGGCCTGGCACATCTTGATATTGGGGAAATTATCATTGATGTCTTATTGTCGACATCCACACGTCGTCGACCTTCCAAAGAATAATAATTAGTCTAAAATATGAGCACATATGAAGTGTAAAGGCACCTAAATGGATATTTCCCATCATAATAACATACATTATAATAGCACTGTGGATGTTCCAATGTTATAGGTCACTTTAGCTTTATTCTAAAATCAAATTTCTCTGATTTTGAACAACATTTTAGAGAAATATATTAATAGCAAATATAAAAATCAAATAAATGTGTTGTCAATACACTTTATTGAGAATTTAAAATATAACTATTTTGACATTATAGATGTTGGTACATCTTCTATACATTGAATTATTTTTTAACTAAGTATAAATTTTTTGAGAGGGAACTAAGTATAAAGTTAAAGTGACATAATTTAGACCAGTGGGAGTTTTTTATTTACTCTCGAAAGTTAGATTTGTATGCGATACAACACATGTCAACCTCATTCTTCCATCGTTAGTCCCACCACGTTATTTGCCAAAAAAAAAAATCTTTGAGCACTAGCTCCGCTCTTTTTAATCAGTCTGACATGGACGAATGCCACCATGAACCAAGATGATGCTAGAAAAAAAAAGACTACGAGTGTAGCTGTTTGGTCAACTCTTTTCCTTCAAAGAAATACGAGGGAGTCGATTTTTATTTTTTTTTTGAAACATACGAGTCGATTTTTATATCGCTATATATTTCAGTATCAGATGTATCTCTTATTTGTTATATCTTTTTCTCTGCTTGGTGTTTTCCTTCTTTACGTAGAGAAGGGTTCGGATAGAAATGATCATGGTTGCCAGTTGCCACTCAGTACGCTCACGGACAGCATTGTTCTGGTAACAACACTTCTTATACTTTTTTTTTTCAGAAATGCTATAGAACACATGTGTGTTTTGTGGTTGGTTGGCACATGAATTTTCTGGCCGCAGGATGAAGAATGAAACGCCCGATCTGTGCTGGTTGCTTTGTGTCGCTAACGTGTAGGGCCCACTCGAAATGTTACTGCTTGAAATCGGAAGTCGCGCATGTCTGATTTCTCCATTTCCCCATCATCTTGTCCCCTCCAACGCTCTCCTTGTAGGAGAGGCGACCTCGCCGCTCCACCCCTCCCCATCTCTTTGCGTCTCCCCACCCTCACCAATCGGTTGCTCGCTCGCCCTCAGCCATTGCTAGAGCTCGGAGGTACCTGCGTTCGCCGCTTGCTCCCCTGTTTTTGCGCTTGTTTGATTTTGTTGTGGGTTTCGGAAGTTCCGCTGCTCACCAGGAGCAGGACTGGTGCCGGGCAGCTTGCCTCCCTGCTGGGACA